GCCTCCCAGAGTGCTAGGATCACAGGTGTGAGTCACTGCGCCCTGCCAGTTCATGTGCTTCTTGAATGGGGTTGGCGAATTTGTGTTAGAAAGGACATACTGTATTTTGGGAGGTAGAGTAAATTTTGCTGTATTTCATTTCTGTGCAGTGAAGCAGATAAAAGCAGAGATATTTATGTGTCTAAGTGTAAATGAACACAAAAGAGTTTCTACTTGTATTTTTAAATTTGGTACTCACAGCAACCCAAGAATCATCCTAGGGTTTTTCATTTTCAGAGCGCAAGATCTAGCTTTGCTTCTCTTTTGCTCTTCTCTCTTTTATTGGGTGATTCTTTCCACCACTTAGACAAATTTATCTTCTCTAAGCTTCTGTTTTCCATACTGCAAAATGGGTTTGATGTGATACTTAAAGGATTATTAGAATTAAATGCAGAAACATTTGCAAATACCTATTTTATACAGTGCCTGGTGTGTCCTGGTAGTTAAGTACAGTCATGCATCGCCTAGTGATTGGGATACATTCTGAGAAATGTGTCATCAGGTGATTTTGTCATGTGAACATCATAGAGTGTACTTACACAAACCTAGATGGTATAGCCTACTATACACCTAGACTGTATGGTATAGTATTCCTCCTAGGCTACAAGCCTATATAGCATGTTACTATACTGAATACTGTAAGCAGTTGTAATATAGTGGTAAATATTTGTGTATCTAAACATAGGAAGGATACAGTATTATAATTTTATGGAACCACCTTCATATATTTGGTCCATCGTTGACTGAAACATTGTTACAGGGTGCATGACTGTAATTGTATTTCCTTTTCTTCCAATCTTTTGCTTCCTCTTTTGTCTTGCTCATTCAGTGAGTCACAATTCAGCACAATTAGAACATATTAATTCAATGATGATAATAGAAAATTAGACCCATTTGATTAAGGAAAAATTCTTAGTCTTTATTCATTTAACAGACGTTGATTATCTACTGCCAGGCAATATGGTAGAAGCCAGGAATATAGAGAGGGAGTTATTTTGGGTACAAATATTAAAAACCTAAGTAAGCTAGTTTAGGATAGAAAAGTGATGATTGTGCAAGGGAGGAGGTTATTGGAAAGATAAGGAGAAATCTTGGGGGATCCACAGAAAAACTGAATGCTGTCTCAAGAAGGGTAGGAACCACATCTTGGAAAACCACCAGAAACCTAGGCAGCCACTTCGCTCACTCCTTAAAGCCTGTGGACTACTGTCTCCACTCATCACATGCTGTCCCTCATCTAAATTTATATATTTCCAATTTCAAATGAAGAACCCATACTGCCTAGGGTTTTTAGCTCTTTATTCCAGATTCCTGGAAGAGAGGATCTGATTGATGTAGTTTTGGTCAAGTGTCCACCCTGACCCATCAGCAGTGGTTTGGGAGTACAGGATTGCTTACCACCCCAAGATGGTTGCCAAGGATTCTGTTGCTATTTGTTGAGGGGTAGGAATAGGGAGGTAGAGCAGACCAGTTGTTAAATGAGAACCCAGTGTTATTCTCCAAGAATTTGTCTTGTGGAGGCGATAATTATCATACATGTGATAAGTCCCATAACAGAACATGAAAAGATTGGAAGGACAAGAAAAGGTAAGAGAAACCTAGTGACCTCTTACTAGTGCTCCATAGAGGGGGTAGCACTTAAGTACTAACAGTAATGCCTGTAATCCTGACTCTGTTACCTATTAGTTTTGTGTCCCTGGACAGGTAACTTAATGATTCCTTGTATCAGCTTATCTTTAAAATGAGAATAATTATAGTGACCTATCTAACATGGTTGCTATTGAGGATTCAATGAGATGATGCATGGAAAGAGCTTAAATCTATGCCTGGCAAAGAATAAATGCTCAAAGTAAAGCAATTATTTTTATATCAAGGTTATTATCTTTAAAATTAAATTCAGAAGTAAAGGAATACTGAATGTTTAATTGCCAATAAAGTTATATTGATGTATGTTTTACTTGAGACATGTTTCAGTTTTTTTAATGTGATACAGGTTTTTTTTTTTTTTTACTAATTTTTTTCTTTTTAGCTAAAATGTAATACAGGTTTATATGAAAAACAGTACTATGTTTTTTCTAAAAGTGTGCATGAGTGTGAGAGTACGTGTGTGTATGTGTGTGCGTGTGTGTGTTTTAAGAGGTCTAAGAAGCTAAATTCCATCTGGGAATGAAATGGAATTTCAGATGATAGTCAAGGGAGACTTTTAGTTATATATAATGTTTTTTTTCAAATGGTAGGATGTGGAGTCAACATGTTAATTACAAATTGATTTCTTTTTTTTTTTTTTTTTGAGACAGAGTCTTGCTCTGTTGCCTGGGCTAGAGTGCCGTGGTGTCAGCCTAGCTCACAGCAACCTCAAACTCTTGGGCCCAAGCAATCCTTCTGCCTCAGCCTCCCGAGTAGCTGGGACTACAGGCATGCGCCACCATGCCTGGCTAATTTTTTCTGTATATTTTTAGTTGTCCAGCTAATTTCTTTCTATTTTTAGTAGAGACAGGGTCTCATTCTTGCTCAGGCTGGTCTTGAACTCCTGACCTTGAGTGATTCTCCCGCCTTGGCCTCTCAGAGTGCTAGGATTACAGGCGTGAGCCACCACACCCGGCCTACAAATTGATTTTTAAAATGACTGTAGATTGGTGTTCTTTTATGTGCTGGTATCATAGGTCCTCAATATAGCTTCAGGTATCATCCTTGTAGAAGCCTCAGCTTTTGGTTGAATCTCTTCACTTAGGCTCTTCTCTTTCCTCCAGGCTCTGTGATCCTCTACCTTATGATATAATAGTCGATCCAATGTGTGGAACAGGGGCAATACCAATAGAGGTAATAACATTTATTTAGCTTTTAGATAAGCAAGTGATATATCCAGAATGTTCTAAACCTAATGGGCAAATTAGACATAATGAAATCACCAAGGTTCGGTGATTGGACCCAAGAGTTTTAAAGCAATTACAATAGTAAAGTTGGAAATTTTGTGTAAATACTGCAACTATTTAATTCAAATAGCCAAGTGCTATTGGACTAGATAATGATGTCTATTCACTGAATTACAGAGGGAGCTGAGAATTACAAACTGCTGGTGAGTCCTCTTTTTGTAAAAGACAAGCTGGTAGGCTTGAACGGGAAAGGATAATTGAAGGCATAAGCTAAACTGAAGGAAGGAGATTTTCATTTCTATAAAGTGAGATTATGCTTCTTAATCCACTTAAGTTCCTAGAGGGTGTAAGTATAGTTGTAAAAAGGGAAAACCTATGAACATTACTTAGATTTTTTAGGAAGTCTGACAAGCTTACATACCAAATGCTCTTAAATAGTTTTCAAAATTACTATTGAGAGGACTCCTAAAAACTGCCTAAAGCAAAAAAGGAAATGGGAAGGCATTTTCTAAACAGAGAATATTTAACAGTAGATACTGATTCTCCGTGAATAAGTCTCATCTATATGTTTATGAAGAATGTGGAAGAGGGAGCTCCCAGTAAAATTGCTTATATTTGTGTGAAAATACAGTAAGTTCTTCCACATGGTATACTGAAAGCCAATTGGAATAAACTGTGGGGAGACACTACAGATTGAGTGGGCAATAATTGGACAGATGAGCAAGTCCAAAGCAACCCACAAAAGGAAAAATAATCCAAACTGTAATTAGAAAATGGTATCTGTGATTTGGGAGTTAAAATCTAAGAAAGAAGTCATAGTAGTCTATGTAACTACTGTGTTCAGCTAGTGAAATTACTCTGGCCAAAGAGACCCACAAAGAGAAAACCCAACTGTGGTCAAGAAGGATTCTGGGAACAAAGCAGTGTTGTTTTCCAGCATTAACCATGATATGTGTATGAAATAGCAGGTAAGGTCACCACATATTAAGAAATACACAACGGGGGAGGGAGGGGGAGCAAGGGCAACATATGTAACCTAAACATCTGTACCCTCATAATATCCTGAAATAAAAAAAAAAAGAAATACACAACAGAGCTAGAGAATGGAGTCAAAAGGAAAGCCAAAGGGAAAAAAAAAGAAGATAAAAAGATTGAGCCATTTCCATTTAAGAGTAGTCATGAGGTTGCCAATGTAGGAAAATCTAAACTAATATATGATCAAAATGAATAAAATTATGATACACCCTATCAATATAGCGTATATATACAGATTTGTTCATCAAAGTAGTATTTCATCTAGAATACTTTTTTAAGACTTGGAAGTACTGTAAAAAACCCAGCTCTTTGTGATGCTGAAAATGCAAGTAGGTTTTAAAACAGAGGGGATGAGAATCACTAAGGCTTTCATCCAACTCTGTAGGTCCCTTCTCTATCCCCACCCACCATAAATCTGGCACACTTCAACTTCCCTTTTGTTCGAAGTCATTATAGGATTATAGACAGGAGCATGTCATCACCCTCAAGTGTCTGGGCAAAAGAATTGAAGTGCTGTATTGATGGATGACAGGTGTGTTACTGTTTACAAAGGGAGAGGTATTTGCCACTCAGCCTCAAGTAGAGGCAGAACCTTTCTCTGCTTTATGTCACAAACCTTCTGTTAATCTGTATAGAACATTGTTCAGACCTAGGGTCACATGTCACTGCATCCTGCAAATGATGTGAGACAGCTTTGTATTTATGTTCTGCTGACATGTGTTTGATTTAAAATTAGAAAATCCTTTGGTAGTTATCATTCAAATGCCCATGATATAAAGGAAATGGCATTTTATTTTGCAATTCTCAAATATTCCAATATATCATATTATGTAAACTCCTACAACCACAAAAGGGTATAGGCTTAGTCAGTTTGATTTGGTTAATTTTTTCAAACCATGTTTACTTAGGATTTATTTAGGGTTTATTTAGTGTGCTTAGACACTGCTGGGTGAGAGACTGAATAAAATACTAGACCTGTCCTCAAGGAGTTCCTAGATTAATTGGGAGGCACACAAGGAAAGAAATAATTAAAAATAGAACAGGTGCAGTGGCAGAGGTATGTGTATACATAGTGCTTTGGGAGGGGCAGATGAGAGAAAGACAACAGTTTGGAGAGTTGGGGTTGATGTCAGAGAGGACATGACATTTGAGCTGCGTCTTGAAAAGTGGGTAGGAGTTGAGCAAGCAGAGAAAGAGCATGAGGGTATTTTCAGCAAAGGGAAGAACACAGTTGATGACATGTAATGTTTTGCCACTTCAGAAAAGCACTGGATTGTCTTGTTTGTTGGTAATTGATCGAAATAATAATTTTTTGCTGTTTGCTACTTCTGTTTTAATATATACTTTTATCTTCTAGGGGGCTACTGAATGGTCTGACTGTTACCATATTGCTGGTGATAATAATCCACTGGCTGTAAATAGAGCAGCAAATAACATCTCATCTTTATTGACCAAGAGCCAAATTAAAGAAGGGTACAATTTTAATTTAAAAGATTTCTTAGCATCTTCTAGGCTTATATAATCACTTTTTCATAGACTATGAATTAATACCCCGCACACTGTGACATCATTATAACCAAAGTGAACATATTGTGAGACTGTTTAAATTTTAAAAGTTTATTGAAAATAATTTATATTTTATTGATTGATTGATTGACAGAGTCTCACTCTGTTGCAGTGGTGTCATTGTAGCTCACTGCAGCCTCAAACTCCTGGGCTCAAGCAATCCTCTTGCCTCAGCCTCTCCAGTAGCTGGGACTACAGGTGCACTCGCTACCACATCTGGCTAATTTTTCTATTTTTAGTAGAGACAGCGTCTCGTTCTTGCTCAGGCTGCCCTAGAACTCCTGAACTCAAGCAATCCTCCCACCTCGGCCTCCCAGGGTACTAGGGTTATAGGTGTGAGCTACCAAGCCTGGCCTATAATTTATATTTTAAAAACATTTTTTACTTATTTCTCACCTTAACACAACTGTTTTTATTTTCCTTTTTCTTTCCTTATTCATATAACTTTTCCCCCCACATATTGGAAGAGTATCATATAGATTCATTTTAATTTCACAAATTTTTGAATACTGTTTTCACATTGTTTTAATGACTGCATAATATTCCACTGTATAGAAATATTGATTTATATAGTCTTTCCTCTATTTTTGTTACTTTCTAAGTCATTGGTTGTATATTTCATCGATATCTCTGATCTAGTCGCTTAGGACTTTTCCAACATTTATGTATGAATTGCCTGGGAGTACTGTCAACACAGATTCTGATTCAGTAGGTTCAGAATGGGACCTGAGAGTCTACATTTTATAGCAGGCTCCTGGGAAATGCTAATACTGCTGGTCTCTGGATCAACTTTAGATTTTACATGTATAAGTAATTGGGAGGTTTTGATTTTCTTAATATTAACTTGTTTTATTGTGATGAATTCTGATGATATAGCTTGTTTCATTGTTATTGAAGTTTTGAGGCCTAGTATATGATCACTTTGTTTTTTCCAAAGTTCATAAACATTTTAAAATTATTTCCTTTCTGGCCTCTTGAATATTTTGTTGTTCAGACCCTCTCTACCTTTACTTTTTGTCTATTTAGCCTGTGCTATTTCTATCCATTTTACTTTTTTTTTTAGAGACAGGGTCTTGCTCTGTCACTCAAGCTGGAATGCAGTAGTGTGATCATAGCTCACTGCATCTTCAAATTCCTAGGCTCAAGTGATTCTCCTGCATTAGCCTCCCAAGTAGCTGGGACTACAGACCCAGCTGACATGCTTTGAAAACCACTCTTTAACCATTTTTTAAATTTATTATTTTTGTAGACTTTAGGTTTCAGTGTAATAATTTTATCTTATGATTTTATATTTTCTTCATACAACCATTAAAATGTTTATCGATAGTCAAAAAAGTTTTTTTAAGAAAATTACATGCTTCACAGTAAGTGGAAGCACCTTTCCTTTGTCCCAACAGCAAACCATCCTGGGGCTTGCCCATAGATGCTGTTCAGTGGGATATCTGCAATCTGCCATTAAGAACGGGCTCTGTGGACATTATTGTAACAGATTTGCCATTTGGAAAAAGGTAGGAATTGGCTTTTTTAAAAATGAGTTTTACTTTCACCTGTTACACTAGTACCTATTCGTCTTCTAAATCTCATTATTTTCCTTGAGATTCTATTCTAAGTCAGAAAAAAAAATCTTCAGGGACTTTTAGCAGACTTAACAGAGCTGCTTTTCAGTTAGTAACAATATGATGCATGTACATATTGTTCCCTCTGAGAACTGCAGAATGTGTAAACTACATTTTGATCCTCACAGGTGGGTCATCTTTAAATTCTCTGTAATTCACTTTCTGGCCCATTCTTGAATTACAGTGATACTTTACCCAAAAAAGTTAAGGAGGACTTGGTTTTGATTCTGTTTCTCAGATAAATGATTTCTAATCACTGGTTTGGTTTATATAGTTGACTGCTTATTAGGTTTATTAAGAGGCAAGTTATGTAACTATCATAGTTGCCACCCCAAATTTTTCTTCTAGTTCAGAACTCTAAGCAGTTTACTCACTCAGCTTATTTCATTGACACGTAATGGCAAAGCTCTACTTTGTAAAAATACAACTATTTTTCATGCCTCAGGATGCATGAAACTGTCCTCTCATTTCATGTAGTCCTACATATTTGTTCTGCAACAATGTTTGACTCATTAGACCTTCTTTTATAGGATGGGCTCCAAGAAGAGAAACTGGAACCTTTATCCAGCTTGCCTACGGGAGATGGGCCGTGTCTGTACACCTGCAACAGGCCGAGCTGTACTGCTTACTCAGGACACGAAATGCTTTACCAAGGTGCTATACATTTTTGACCTAAGGTCAAAATCTCAACCTGTGGCAACTTTAGGATCTTTTTAAGTAGACTTGGGAGATATTAGTTGGGAATAGGATTTGTTTTCTCTTCCCCTAGTGTTTTGCTGGTGGCAGCTAAGATTCCTAGTTGGTTTAGAAGCAGATTGTGAGCCTAATTGTTTTTATGCTTTTTGTGTGTACACAGGCATTATCTGGAATGCGACATGTATGGCGGAAGGTGGATACAGTTTGGGTGAACATTGGGGGTCTTCGTGCTGCAGTTTATGTTCTGGGACGTACGCCCCAAACTTTTGTTCATCCTTCAGAACAGGATGGAGAAAGAGGAACTCCTTGGTAATGCAAAGAATGAAGATGACTAATAATATCATTCATACTTCCCAACACTGGAAATGTCAGCACGAAGAACTTGCTTTTTGAGAAAAATAGTATTAACAAAAGTGCAGTCTGTACCCTTAAAACCAGTCCAAAGCTCTTCATGCTAGTTAGCAAAAGGTGTGATGGAATTGAAAAAGTCTTATGAGAAAGCAAAGCTTTTCCTTGAAGCTGTTTCAAAGGGGTAGTGGGCAATTAGTATTTTGCTTAAAACACTTTAAAGATGCATAGCGAAAAGCCTACTGAAATGCTCTGGCATTTGGGTTTAGAACATTTTATCTTCAGGCTTCACAGCCTGTTTTCCATTGCGGCAAGTGCAAAGCTACCCTGGCCTAAAGGACAGGCAGAAAACATAATTACATCTTAGGCCACATTTCATTGCCTATCAGCTTTGCTATTCACTTGCTCAAGTTCTTTACCTCAACCTCAAAAAACGAAGTGTTATCACATTTTGTGAACAGGATTTGCCCCATGACAAGAAGAAATTTCACAAGACCTATAGGAAAGTTTACCATCTGCCTTAAGAATTAAAATATGCATCTGTTATTCAGATTAATATATACAATTAAAATAGAGTACCAGGATTTATCAAAGAGATTGCAGAGATACTTTATTGTTAGTTTTATAAAACATTTGTTTATAAATAGCATATACACTGGTAGATAAGGTATGGGACCAACAAGCCAAATTAAAAATTTGTTTTCCTTTCAGTACACAAAAGGTGTGTGTTTCTTTTCAAAGCCAAGCATAAACCTGTTGGCTAGTTTCTTACAAGGGCTAGAGAAAAAGATGATGTATCTTTGAATAAGAAACTTTTTATTTGAGGGTCATGTAAGTTTTTTTTGTTATTTTCTCCTGGATCACTATTCACGTTTAGTTGCTTTTCCAGTTGTAGCCTGTCCTTCCTAAGATTTTGCAGAAAATGAAATAACCTCAACATAAAATACTTGTAAAAATGGTGCTTCCCTGGGACAAAGGGTAGTTGAGGTTTTATGTGGAATTCATTACAGTATTCAGTTTATTCTGGAGCATCTGGCTGCATTCAGCTTAGATTTTTCAGTGTCATGTTATATAATACTACTTATTACTCAAAAGTTTTTAACCTTTTGAGGTCTTCATTTAGAATAAAAGGACACGGTACTTCCTTCCTTTGAAAGAATAGAGTTCACATTAGCAGCATAGCCAACAATCCTAATCTGGTTTTTCTGTGATCTCCTACCCCACATTTAATGAACTGGAACTAGACTGGCATTTTTACCATTATCATAGTGCACAGTTGCATTATTTATAGGTTGAAAACAAAACAACTTTTCACCTCTGACAAAAGAAACCATTTAAACCTCAAACTAAGTGAGGGTTGGTTAGCAATCCACGAAAACAAGTACAAGGACCATGTGTTTTCACCATTGTTTTACAAAGTCAGTGGCACAGTACCTGCTAGCGTGGAAATTTAGTATTTGTTGAGGAAATGAACTTTTGTAAAATTACTTAGTTTTTATGGGAATGATGGGAAAGAGAGTCTGTAATAATCTGAACATAAATACCTGAGTTACAGGCCCTATACTATTATTGGGAATGAAAGTCAATACATTTGAGGGGGAAAAAATGATGTAAACATTGGGAAAGATTTTACAATTGAAATTAGAGGAAGATAGTTATGTCCCGAGACTGACAGTATAACAGTGGCAAAAAAGGGAATGTTTGATTACCCTTATTTCTTTTAAAATGGTAACAAGGCTTTTAGGAAATTTTGCCCAAACTGTAGGCCCTGACTCATCAATGTCAGATAGGAGGGAGGGCTCAGGTCTCCACTGCAAGGACCAAAATGGTAAGTTGAAGACAAAAAAGGAAGGAAATTTGGAAAGTCTGTGAAGTACCTAAAGTACGTTGAAGTCTTAAGTGCTTCATATTTATCAGTAAGACGGACATGGAAAAAGGAAGAGATCCTTATTCTCAAGCACAGCCCTTTCTATTATAAGTTCACGTTAGGTGTCATGTGAAGTTCAGTGAGGACATGGTAAAAGTTTGCAAATTCTATGACAAATAAAATTTAATTACTGTACCTTGTTTGGTATGTTAAAAAGTTCAGAAGCACCACACACAGGTCTGCATACCAAATTTAAAAATGTATATTGTACAATGTGAAAAAAACATAGCCCATTGTTTATAACAGGCCTTACCCTGTTACTCTTTGTACCCTTAATGCATACAAAGAAATTTATTTCTTACAGTTATGGAGGCTGAGAAGTCCAAGGTCAAGGGGCCAGATCTATTGAGAGCCTTCTTGCTGGTCGGGACTCTACAGCCCCAGTGACATGGTCAGGGGGCTGGATGTGCTAACATGCTCAACCCTTTATACTTCTGTCCCAGGGCTAACATCTTTGTTAACCAGTTGTGCTGTTACAACTATTCATTGAAGTTATGGTAGAAACAATTTTTCAACAGAAAAGAGAAATCCTTTTGGTATCTTGTTTTTACCTCAAGTCCAAATTCTGTATTTCCAACTGCCTACTATAGTTTGCTTTATATATTCCACCTAAAACTCACCATGAACATTCTTTTAAAATCTGCTCCTTGTCCCAGCATGCCCATTATCCTAGTCATCCAGGTTTAATAGCAGGAGTCATTTTTTAACTCCATCCAGTCATTCAATAGGTTTTGAGTGTTTATTATGTGTATTGTGCTAGAGCTGCCATTTCTCAAAGTTAGTGGCCTTGGAATCCCTTACATTGTTAAAAATTGAGGGCCTTAAATGCCTTTGTTTACCAATATTTTACCATATTAGAAATTAAAACAACTTAAATATTATCATAACATGTATTGTTAACAGTTTCATGGAAGTAACTATTTATAAAAAAATGTTGGCCCATTTCATTATATAATACTAAAAATATCATATTCATCAATATCACTATCTCTTAAAAAAGGTATTGGGAAGCTGTCAAGTTCCTGATAGTAGATAGACAACTTTTCCCAAAAT